AAAAAAAAAAAAGAACCGGGGATTGAACTCAGACCCTTGCACTTGCCAGGTAAGCACTTATTCTACTGAGCCATCTCCCCAGCCCCAAGAAAAATATTTGTAAAAAACCTATTTATCCAGCTGAATGTCAGCAGAGGGCTCTGGAGAAAGAATGAAGTCTGGCATCTGCATCACAATCAAAGACAGCAACTTGAAAGCTTGGTCCAAGGCCAAATGATACTCCAGGGTTGTGGAATCCTCAAAGTTTCTGGGGCCACATGGAATCACTTTTTGTTTAAGGGGTTTGTTTTGTTACTGGAGATTGAACCCAGCACACTCACAGAGCTATATTCCCAGGCCTTTTTGTTTTGAAACAGTCTCACTAAGTCACTAAACTGCCCAGGCTGGGATTGAACTTGGAATTCTCCTGCTTTAGCCTCACAAAGTGTTGGGATTACAGGCCTGTACCACCATGCCAGGCTTTGGGCCACATTCTATGTCAAAAATATCCTGCTAATCAAAGCAGAAATAAAACTAAAACTTTCAGTCCATTAAAACAAACAAAAAAGAATAAAAAAGTATCTAGAAACTATAACAAAAATATTCGTATCATTAAACCAATATATAGGATCATCTAGTTAGTTCCTATCCTTTTGTGTAAGACAAATACCTAAGTTAGAACTGAACCAACATTGGCCACTCTGCTCAGTGTTAGGGTCTGGAACCTATTACCCAGGAAGAAACTCCATGGGGCCATGGCCTCAGAATCCTCCCCTCACAACACCACGGTCTGAGTTATCAGAAGCCACGTGTTAAAAACAGGAGAGCAGCAGAGGCCACATTCTGCCCTGCACGGTACACATCTGTCTGTATTTCCCACTGCATCCCTCTGGAAGAAATCTGGTCAAGAGCACCACACAGTTACTCTGATGAGAAAGGTTCATATGGATAACATATACTTTATATGTTTATATGGACAAGAACACCATAAAAAGGGAGAAAAATGCAGGCTCAGCCAGAAAAGCTGCTACAGAACAAGTCTGGAACTATTCAGTAGTGTCAAACACTAAACCACATTTACAAGTCTAATTTGGAAATCAGTGCAGGAGGAAGTTGAGGGATAAGCCAAGCACGAAATAAAAAACTATCCAGATATAAACACCCATGTTTTCACACTTCTTTTGCCCATTTTCTCCACAAGGAACAAATCAGACAAAGGAAAGCCCCATCTCCTTCCCCAGAGTTCCCCTATTTACTAAAGATTTGTTAGAGAAGCCCCACATGGGCTTAGTTCTCAGGAGGCTGACTTTGCTCTCCTTGGCCCGACCCACCCGCGACAAAGTACGGAGGAAGTGTTGGGGTCACAGGCATTTGCATATGGGGAAGAGGCCAGGAAAACCACGGCTCACTCAATGCATCCATTACACGTAAGAGCATCCATGCTGGGAGTACTCTCATACTCAGAAGTCCTCGGCAGACTTCTAACTTGCAGCAGCGGCGCTCCAACACCGAGGAAGGCAGGGTTTTGATCCAGCATGCGCTAGGTCAATCATTCCAGTCACATGTGCGAGCCCTGAGCAAGTCCTCAGGGGCCGGCAGCTGTGTGCTCTGTGGAGTGGAAGTTTGGGCCTTTTCCTTCCCTGGATTTCTCCTCTCTGTTGCCCCTGGTGCACTCTCAAACGCTCCCTCTAGACTCCAGACAGCTGCCTGGAATGGGTGTGAGATTTATTGTTCCACTGCTGCTGCCTTGTCCTCGGCTGCTGGCTTTTCAGCCTGTGACTCTGGAGGAATCAGGTATTGGACTTCCTCTGTGCTGATGGCAACTTTATCAGGCTGCAGCCACCTCTTGAAATGTTCCAAGGTGCTGTGAGGGAGCAGAAGAAAAGGGTGGCTATATCAGACCTCATTGATCAATTACTTAATGATTAGCTCAGTTACTCAAACACTGCCTTCCCACCCACCACCAATTTCTTCCTATAATTGTTTTTCACTGCTGAGGTGGGGAGAGCAGCCGCACTCCTCTGACAGCTGTGCATCCTGGCAGTTCAGAGGCATAATTTACCCCCTAGAGGGCACTTTGGCTATAAGCAGCACCAGGCCCCCTTCAAATGCTGTCTCTGAAGGCTTGATAAGAATAGCTGAAGAGGTATGCCTTGCTCCTATCCTTTTCCCTCAAAACCGAAAGAAACTGTCAAGGGGAGGAAACACTCAAACAAATGCCAAACTATTAGTGAGGCAGAACCTGAGCATCTTTAAATCTCTCACACCTGAGGCAGTCTGAGGCTCAATTATACATACCGTACAGCGCTTACTGGAGGAAATGCAATTTTTGTGTGTGTATGTGTGTGGGTTGTTTATTTCATCCCCCTAGCAAGTCCCTAAGATGGAAACATCTGAGCAGCAAATGGAATTTGCAAATTTCTACAAAGGAGTGGCAAATATGCCATTTTGTTTTGCTGTATAGAGAGGAGGGAAGTGTGACTGTGGGGCTCACATCCTTTTCCCACCTCCCACAAGTACCCAGGGTCTTATATCCTATGGCTATTAGGCATTCACAGTAAAATACAAGTGACCAGAAATAATCTGAATCTTATTCCACGTCTCTAATAGCATAAAGCCCTAACTGTAGACTTGAGATACTGGTCAGCGTATGGGGAAATCATGTTTTAGATAGCTGGATTTCCTAGCCCATTAATTCTTTGCTGAAAGCATAACAAGCTCACCAATCTAGCCCACATGGTCCCCTGTAAAAGATCTCTGTTTAAAACATAAGCTTTGAAGTTTGAAAACAAATGCACAGCTACTGCTTTCTGGTGTTTGTTCTGAAAATGACAGAAGCATTCCCACAGATGAAGGTGCAGGGAATAATCCCAAACAGCAGAGGGAAATGAAAACAACTGACTCTTGTCCATATCTTATGGGAATCATGTGTGACAGAAACATTTTAAATATTTTCCAAATTATTTCTACAGAAAAAAAGCAGCCACATGTGGTAGCACATGCTTGTAATCTCAGCACTTAGGAGGATGAGGCAAGAGAATTACTGAGTTCAAGGACAGTCTGTACTATAAAGCAGATGATGTCTTAGCACATGTCTATAATCCCAGCACTATAGAAGGCTGAGGCAAGAGGATCCCAAGTTAGAGCCTAGCTTGTGCAACTTAGCAAGACCCTGTTTCAAAAAAAAAAAAAGGGGGCTGGCGAGATGGCTCAGTGGTCTAAAGCACCTATTTGGAACAAGCTTGGCAAAGCACAGGGACCACGGTTCG